AAAACCATAGTCACTCACCCACTCACACCCTTACTCACTGTTGTGCTAGGGGCGGTCGGGTAGCCTTGTGGTTAAAGCGTTCGCCCGTCACGCTGAAGATTCGATTCCCGACATGGGTACAATGTGTGAAGCCCATTTCAGGTATCCCCCGCCGTGATATTGCTGGAATATTGCTAAAAGCGGCGTAAAACCAAAGGCACTCACTCACTCAGTGTTGTGCTATATCGTGTATGTGCTGTATCGACTTGAAACAGTTCCTGTATCGATGTCGAGAGTATAAATCGCCAAAACCCTTTCCATAATCAAGGTCGATGGTTTCAAAGACTTAAAGGCCGCCTCCGTGGTCTAGTGGTAGAGCGTCCGCCTGGAGAGCGGAAGGTCCGGGGTTCGTTCCCCGACCGCGTCATACCAAAAGACGTTAAAAGATGGTACTTGTTGTTACCCTGTCTGGCGCTCGGCATTAAGGGGCTAAAACATACTGTGTCTGAGTGGGGTATTCATGTTAAACTGCGGCATGGTATCTCAGTGAGCTAGCACTATAAATCGGCATCAGTCCGGACTAGTACAAGCAGCCACACAAACACACACACGTACATGCACGTCGCTATATAAGTGCAATAATCTTGGACGCGACGTTAAACCCCATTTCACCTCACCTCACCTCAAAGACTTAAAAAAGCAACCAGCAGAGGTATTAACCTCCTTCGACAATCAGTGTGATAAAAGACAGCATCAATATCTTCATGAAATTTTAGATTCGTTTTTTTGTAAGCCAGGTGGGGTCATATATTTATTTAAGCGCGAAATCGATTCGTTGTAAAAAATAGTGAAGGAAGCGTCGAAAGATGAAAAAAACAACACATTATGTACGACACGGAAGTTTACTTACATTAAATTACTTAATTACTGTCGAACATGAAAACCACACTGACCCAAAAAATAAGAGTGAGTGTGTGAAGAAGCTCCACACTGTGACTATGTAAACGCTATACAATGTGAACATTCTCACAATTCACCAAAACGGCGAATTGAAAAAAGAGAATTTGAAATTTAATTTTTTCTCATCTCACAGACTATATTTTTGTTCATCTCAAAACTTAGCATTTTAAAGGTCTACGTGTAACCCAATGTTAGAAAAAAAACCCGTAAAGCAGCAGTAAAAAGAAGCCCAAAAGATGAAGCGACAAGACATCATCTCCACGTCACGCAACCCATAAATGTAACGGTCGTTTAACGAGTGATGACAGGTCGTAAAACCCCACACGGAAAACAGTATTTTGTGTGTCACTTCAACATGGAGCGATAGATCGCCATGGCTTGGATCTCAGCGTATATTGCCTCTTACGAGTGTTTTTATTGATTGATGACTTGCATCTCCAGGTTGTGACGGCAGATGGATAATACGCTTCCTTAAAGTCTATATTTCATAAAGAGCAAAGCATTAATAAAACAATACTGTATGGATTATGATTCACAAATTGCTCTACCCGAGCTTAAGATTAAAAATATTGCACTAATCTTATGCTTCAGTATTTCCAAACCTGAATCGATTCACCATGTAAATGACATTACGCATGTATAACACATTAATTTTATCTATTAAATATATAACTGGCCAATTAAGTTTTATCATTCAAAGGTTAGGTTTCAAATGGCAGCTTAAAAACTGTCTGATTAGTTTTATGTTTTCCTTATGACATATAACTGGGTAATTTTATAGCTTTGATATACAAGTTTAAATTATCATGAATAGCTAAGTCTTTTAGTCGTATGAGTAATGACTTCACTTTTGTCACATTGCCCAGGCTGTATAGGGCTGATGTGTCATAAGCATCGGTGGCCATGGTGATACATGCACAATTGGAGATTTGAAACAAATTCATATCCTGCAAAAAACAAAATCAAAGCTAATTTGGTTTTGCAAAAATATTCAATGTACAAAACAAAGATACGTAGGTTCAACAAATGGGGTTTTAACACTGAAGAGATGATGTTTACAATGAGGGGAAAACATTAAATTTACCCTTACATTGCTGCAACGTTAGTGGACAATTGCGTCGTATTACAAGGCACACACACACACACACACACACACACACACACACACACACACACACACACACACGCACATACACAGGTTGCAGTTTGGCACTAGCTGAACATGGTAATAGCACTGATAATACCTGACGTTATGGTTTGTGGATAAGATAAGAACTGGAAAGGACATTTTAAATATTTCGTTCCCCATAAAATGGCTTACATGGCAAATGAGAACTCGAAGAAGATTCAAGGGTGAACAGGGCGCTACATGTCTGGGAAGAAGGTGGATTGGAAAATTTTAAAAAATCTCAAATAATCTATTACCAGAGCCATCCCCTAATCAGGTGATTTCAGTCATCCCCAATATGCGGATTACTTGTATCCACGAAAATACTTCGACTTATCCTAGGTTCGACTCAACCGAAAATTGAACATTTCACATGTACATTTACCAGTTGGCATGAAGAATGAACAACACGAAACATGCGACAGACAACCAACGAGGAGATGAAATAAACGTCCAATATTACTTTTATTATTGATAATTTTTCGCAATAATATGACATCCCATATTTCCGAAGATACTGACGTTTTCAACCAGATTATTTCGATGACGCGTCAATCACTATTACGGTCTTTTGAGTTAGGGATCATTAATATTTTAGGGGATGCGTTTATGACATTGTGTGCTCAGTGTTTACTACAAACTTATTCATGATCCCTAACCTGTTTTTTTTCAGAACAAATAAACAGTAAAGGAAACACAAATATCAAATATCAAAAAAAAAAAAAAAAAAAAATAAAAAAAATATCAAATATCAGTTAGTTGCCCTATTCGCAATCATGGTCAATAGGCATATCGGGAAATGGTACAAAGATGGGTTTATCTAAATATGCACACTTCCCATTTTCCCTCTAGCACGTGTCGAGTAATGGCAACCACGCCACGGTTCATACATCAATTCAAAAAGAAATAGGGGCGGTAGGGTAGGCTAGTTGTTAAAGCGTTCGCTCGTCACATCGAAGGCCCGGGTTCGATTCCCTACATGGGTGTGGAGATCATTGCTGGTGTCCCAAATCGTGATATTGCAAAGTGCGGCGTAAAACCATACTCACCCATAAGAAACGTTAACTTGGAACATGCTGGCAACAATGACGTGATATTCAAGAACAACGGGTCCTACATAGAGTGAGTGAGTGAGTTACTTTTACGCCGTTCTGAGCACTATTCAAGAAATATCACGGCGGGGGACACCCGATATGGGTACATACATTATTTCCAAGTGGGAACTCGAACCCGGGCCTCCGGCGTGACTAGGTTACCCCACCGCCCCTCCCACATATCAAACATCACATAAATACAGGACAGATGTGTTCTAGGAACCTCAAGTACAGTAAACTACGGTTATAACGAACTCAAAGGGACCACTTATTTTAGTTCGTTATAACCGTAGTTCGTTATAAGCATACATACAGCATATATACAACAAATGGCCGGGACTAAAAAATAAGTTCGTTATAAGCGTGTTCGTTATAACCGTAGTTTACTGTAGTTAGGGACAGTCAGGTATCATTATTAATAAGTTAATACACAACATCATTTCGACGTAAACAGGTAAGAGAGGTAGATATGAAGTTCAAACAACAGGCAATAAAACGACATGGCAAGACTAGGGTTGGAGACAATACATTGTCCAATCCATATCACACACGACCTGTTCAATGCTTCGGCAAGATGAGGTCTGTAAAGTCATGGTGCTAATAATATGACGACATCAGAAAAGATATGTGCGCCCTAAATGTTGACAAGACATTGCTTGCATAAATCTAACGATCAAATACATACTTTTGCGTACATTTATACGTATTACTACTCATAGTACATGAACTTGGGCAAGATAAGTGCGAAGTAGTTGTACAAAATCTAACACTTAAAGACAGTTGATGGGAAATACGTATTACAAAGTCTGGCCTCTCTTGAGACTTGTCTTCACCATTGCATACATTTGCAGATTATAGGAAATTATTATTAAACATAAATTCAAAATTGGCAAAACTATGTTTTTTTTAAAAAGAATATAAAATCTGAATTCAGTAATATTAATATCAAACATATATGTAGGATGCTGTTGGATGAGTCATGCACGTCAAAGTTGACGTTGGTCGCTAATAATAAACACTGCGAGACCTGAGGGAGTCAGCACGTGCGGCTGTTTCCCTAATTAACACCATTTCAGTAGCAGTAAGCAGGCTAAATTTAAATACTGTGTCTATTCTGATAAGAAATATAATAGAAGATCAGGCTGTCCATTTCCGATTTTTTTTCACTTAATCAAAGTTTTGTTTCAAATAAAGAAATCAACATCTTCAATGGGTGCAAGGCTCTTGGACGTCATTAAAATTCTCATAAGTCAAGCGTGCGCATGTCGCAAGCCCTAATATTCCCCAGGATTCACAAATATTACGTTGAAAGATGACACAAACAAGTACTAGATGTGTTTCAGTGGGGCACGGGAAGATTGTAAATCCAGGACTCTTTAATCCGGACAATTGTACTGGTAACTGTCCGGTTTAACGGGGTTAAGTTGTATTAAATTGGTGTTCTTGTAACTCATCCTCGATTACCGAGGGTAAAATATATCTATATTTAATCATGATATACTCTGGATCTAATATCTGCCATATTTTCGACTGTACCTTTAACCCCCCCCCCCCCCCTCCCCCACTCGCACATGTGTAGAGTGTAACAAAATTAAATAGCATCGTGTAATTTGAATCTGTGTCAAAACGAAACTATGTTAGCGAATTGTTTAACGCCGCACTCAGCAATATTCCAGCTATATGACGGCGGTCTGTAAATAATCGAATCTGGATCAGACAATCCAGTGATTGACATCATGAGCATCGATCCACGCAATTGGGATATGATGACATGCATCAACCAAGTCAGCGAGCCTGACCACACGATCCCGTTAGTCGCCTCTTACGACAAGCATGGGATGCTGAAGACCAATTCTTACCCTGAATCTCCGAGGGACGGTACATGCAATGAAGGTAGACAAACTACATGTTATTTGTCCTAAATTAACATTGCAGGAAAGGTCATAGACACATGCACCACTTACACAATACATAATGCAGCACCACTAAAACGTCATACTGTTCCTGATTAAAGTCTGCTTGAACCTTTCCAACTCTGAGACTAACACATTACAGAGTCGATAGATCACGTTGAATAAGAACACTAGCCTCCCCATGGGTGAAAAAAGGAGAAGCAAAAGTACAACTTCCAAGTAAATAAATTTCTTTGACGTCGGTATCGTTTTTTAAAAACTTTTTTTCTAAAGCAACTACGAGTTAACTGCCTTCAGAGCACTTGCCGGTCCTAACACGTGTAACATTAAACAAAATACTCATCAAATAACAAGCGAATTGTTCAGAAGTTTCTCGCTGATGTTCAATATCAGCATCGGAATCAACGAGAGTGGGCAGGTGTTACGCTTCTTCCCGAGGCAAGCGTGTCCACTATCCGATGTCCACATCTTGGGTCGACCCTGGCGCCCCCTCGCGTAACTCACGAGTTGTGCCCCTTGTAATGAAACGCGATATCCAATCAGATCGCTGTACTTATCTCGTACAGCTTCATAGAAATGGCGACTACAATAGGCGACAATCTAGTCGATCAGATTACAAAATCATTCGCAATTTCATCCCTGACACAAAAACATATTTAGCACAGTAAAGTGGGCTTGATGTGGCAAGGGTGAAACAATACTTTGATAAAAAGGTTAGTGGACGCTTTTGATGGATTTTATGCCGCATTGAACAGCATGTTGGTTTTTCACAGCGTGTCGGGAGGAAAGCCGAATGTCTTAGACGTTTACCACGAGCACGGCATGGTTGTGAAAACCTTGAAACATAATCAGGGGGAATGTTGGAGTCGAACCTACGAGCACAGATTTCTGCCTCAGTGAACTGCGGCGCCATACACGAATGGGCCACCCGAGCCCCGGATTCTTTGGCAGCGTAATACTTACAATAGGGGGAATTCGTAGCTGTGTATCTGCGACCCGACGTCTCGGCGCAGCTTTATCTGAGACTAACAAACACAAACGTAATAAGGGCTACATATGACGTTTTCAGAAAGATCCAAGCAATACAGCTCAAACGCCTTATCCTCAGCGTCATGGCCTTGTCCGCTAATGGTTGATTTTAATAACCTTAAATGGTTTGCAATAATTTTGACAAATATAAGTTATCTGAGACTAACAAACACAAACGTAATAAGAGTTAAATGTGACGTTTTCAGAAAGATCCAAGCAAAACAGCTCAAACGCCTGATCCTTGGCGTCATGGCCTTGTCTGCTAATGGTTGATTTTAATAACCTCAAATGGTTTGCAATAATTTTGACAAATATAGGTTTAGGCCACATTTTTTTAATTTGGTTCGACCTTTTTCGAGTTATTTCAAGTCCGGAATTTGCACATTCTGAAGAAACCCGTAATGATCAAGGACATATGACATTATCTCTACCGATCATCAATGTTTCTGTTTAGTAAGTGTAAACTCAGTTTGAAAACGTTTGGGAAATCTTGCTTACCTAATCGATTTTTCATAAAAGTGATTAGAAAGAAAAACAGTTACATACGTAACCTTACAAATTCTGAGTCAATTATGACAATATATCAAACCATTAAAGCCAGCTCAGCTCTAGATTCAACAACACAGGTAGATCGGGGAATATAAAATGTCTCTACTGAGAATGAGTATCGTGGTACTGTTAACGACTTTCAGGGCAGATCAGTACATTGAAATACCGTTAATCCGGACATTGATATTGTGCAGGTTTAAAATTACCTGATAAAAAAATAATAATGGAATCATCTTCTTTGTAGCTGTTCAGTACAGACATCTTTCGGAAATCGGATGTCCGGTTTAACGGGGTCCAGATTGACAGGGTTACAGTGTTCCGAGAAAATGAGCGAAGTGTGGGCAGTTAAATGCCAATGGCAACACACTTTCTGTCCCATTCCTGAGTTTTCAAGGTGGACAACATAAACTTGACAACGTCTCTCCTTGGCATACTGAGCGCGACGCCCTTGATATACTGCCCCTCCGTCGCCTTGACCCGCTTACCTGAAAATATAGGATATCATTTATAATATTCTGGTTAATTTGTAGAGAGTGTCAGTACTGTACTGATGTTGTGAATGTTAAGTCTGTGCTGATGTTGTGTTTTCTGTCTGTGCTGATGTTGTGTTTTCGGTCCTGAACCAGGAGTGAGTGAGTGAGTTTGATTTTAAACCGCTTTTAGCAATATTCCAGCAATATCACGGCGGGGGACACCGGAAATGGGCTTCACACATTGTACCCATGTCGGGAATCGTTGACAAGAATCATAATCAGTGAGAATCTGGGATTCGAACCCAAGATCATATGATGCACACCATGTGACAATCATTTTTGCATAGCGTATAGCGGAGTCTCTCCACCTGAACAATATAAACTAGGGGTTGATAGTGTGAGCACTGTATCACGGCGTCAGGGTACGATGAAACACAAACCCTGCCAGGTTACTGATGGCCCTCCTGTCGGTAGTGGCCATTCTGTCCCCAAGTGGGTCTCCTCTTCTCACAAACAAAAAGTGATACGGACCTATTCTACACCGATATCAGATCCGTGTAGAGAATAGGTCTTCAGCAACCCATGCTTGCTGTAAAAGGCGACTTTGCTTGTCGTAAGACGCGACTAACAGGATCGTGTGATCAAGCTCGCTTGGTTGATGCGTGTCATCGTATCCCAATTGCGTATGTCATGATGTCAATTACTGGATTGTCTGGTCCAAGCTCGATTGTTTCCAGAACGCCGTCATATAGCTGAGTGCGGCGTCAAACAACAAACAAAACAAACAAATCTTCAGCAAAATCCCCATATGCTTAAAAAAAGTGAATGTTGACGCTTACGACTCCGGAGTCGCTGCTACCGTTGCAGACATCTGAGATGACGCTACTGCAGTAGACTATGACGTCAGTTACAAATATGCAAATATTAAAGAAAGGAAACGAAGCGTTCACGATTGAGAAAATATGATTTATATAATCAGTGGTTACAATTATGGAATGACGTGTCAGTAATAACACGAATGTGGTCATGGGCCTCATTACGGACCTGTGGTTAATGTAAAATAGTCCCTTTAAATTTAACTAGTCTCGGACTAACGGACAAGCAGTTGTGTCTATCTCGCTTAAGAAAAAGATCGCTTAGAGCTTTCCGTTCGTCACCACTCGCCCCTTTCCGTAACCTGCAAGAAGACTCGTCCCACTATCGATGAATGTTATGTGCGAAAATACGACAAATCAATCAGAATGCGCGTATGATTTCAAGTTCTTCGTCAAAGAATCCCTCAGAAATACTTTTTGATTTTACATATGTCTTGCATCTAAAAATATACCCAAGACACAGTTAAATGTGTCCAATCATACTGTATAATTCCGCATGTCCCGATGTGCTTTTAATTGCATCTGAAATATATATAATATATGGGGAAATATATGTGAACCATTACGCAACGAGTTGACAATTGTTTTAGGTATGCCCGTTTGCGCTCAGACGGAACCCGGTCGCAAAAATGGCCATGAGATGGGCACGAGTCGCTGGTCTCGGAATAACACGAGTTGGTCACGAATGGTATATTTCTAGGTTCAGCAGGAGTGACGATAATTGCCGAGTTAACGCCCTGTTGTTCTTTGCAACAAATATTCAAAATGGTCAGTAATTATCCTAAATAAAATAATTATGTTTTGAACGCATCTAAAATTGTTATGGATGCCTTGGCTTTCCATCGGCATCATAACACTATACATTTGTTTTTGTTGTTGTTTAACGCCGCACTCAGCAATATTCCAGCTATATGACGGCGGTCTGTAAATAATCGAGTCTTGACCAGACAATCCAATGCTTGACATCATGAGCATCAATCCACATAATTGGGATACGATGACATGCATCAACCAAGTCAGCGAGCCTGACCACCCGATCCCGTTAGTCGCCTTTTACGACAAGCATAGTCGCCTTTTACGGCAAGCATGGGTTGCTGAAGACCTATTCTACCCCGGATCTTCACGGGTCATTCACAGTAATGACATTCCTGAAGACATACACAAGAATAAACATGTCACCACATTTGGGGTTAGAGGGAATATACTCGAGTCTAGTGTTCCCCTACGTACTAGTGGCAGCGATGATCCCAAACGGGGAAACGATGGTGACACTCGCTTTGAAGCAGCTATAGGAAGGGAGATAACCCTGGAAGCTCTACTCTAAACGGCGACCTGGCAATAGCTATGTCAATCTCATGACCAGTGAAGGGTTTTGTTTTGTTTTGTTTCTTGTTTTACGCCGCACTCGGAAATATTCAAGCTATATGACGTCGGTCTGTAAATAATCGAGTCTGGACCAGACAGTCCAGTGATTGATATCATGAGCACCGGTCCCATGTAGTCAGGGGAATGGTGACACACATGTCAGCGCGCCTTACCACCGATCTATTTAGTTGCCTCTTACAACAAACCTGACCGGACTTGTTGGGAAGTTATTCTAACCGTGAATCTCTACTTTTTGTGTGGGGTTTGCTCGTCACGCCAAAGATTCGGGTTCGATTCCCACATGGGTACAATGTGTGAAGCCCATTTCTGGTGTCCAGATATTGCTGGAATATTGCTAAAAGCAGCGTAAAACCAAACTCACTCCCCGAACAGAGGGGATAGGATAATAGACAGTGTGTGCATGTTGGTGATATTAGGCACACATGTGTTTTCTTGTTTGTTTGTTGTTTAACGCCGCACTCAGCAATATTCCAGCTATATGACGGCGGTCTGTAAATATAAAGGTTTGGACCAGACAATCCAGTGAATGATATCCTAAGCATCGATCCATCGAAACATTCAACCAAGTCAGCGAGTCTGACCACCCGATCCCGTAAGTCGCCTCTTACGACAAGCATAGTCACCTTTTACGGCAAGAATGGGTTGCTGAATACCTATTCTACCCCGGATCTTCACGGGTCCCAGTAATGAGATGTCCTCAGAGCTTTGTATTTAGAACCAAAATATGAGGACATCCCATTAAGTGTCACGTCAGGCTGACCTTTCGTGAACTTTGACCTACCAATGGAACGACTGACAAGAAGTCGACCTTATCCAATCAAAAGGTAGGTTTCTCGTGCTTTACGGCACTAGCCTTAAACTGGCGACTGAGTTTCGAAACTCATTTTTGCAAATTCTCGATAAAAAGATTAAAACCAAACTAAAGGAATTTTTGGAATGACTAATAGATGGTCTACATTTATGGTCTAGATTGTGTGGATTCAGTCGTACATCCCGTAACTGTCGTTCGGAATACCCCTTGGTTGCATTTTTAGAAAACACATTCTGCCTGTCATTTGCCTGATCTGGTAAGCGACGCTCTGATTGGTCGGATGACAGGTCGTTTTGACGTGATGGGATGTCCTTCGATCTTTGTTTAGCGGTTGCGAGAACTAAGATCTGACTTTAATGCGATTGTATGTATGTAACATCGTTTTGCTCTGACCACACTCTTCAAGTGCTGGGACAAAATGAAGCTAGCCGCATCGTGAAATATTTTTGTGAAACATTACACTAACATTACACTAACATCACACTAACATCACACTAACATTACACTAACATCACATTAACATCACACTAACATTACACTAACATCACACTAACATCACACTAACATCACACAAACATCACACAAATATCACACTAACATCACACTAACATCACACTCACATTACACTAACATCACACTAACATCACACTAACATTACACTAACATCACATTAACATCACACTAACATCACACTAACATCACACAAACATCACACTAACATCACACTGACATCACATTAACATCACACTAACATCACACTAACATTACACTAACATCACACTAACATCACACTCACATTACACTAACATCACACTAACATTACACTAACATCACACTAACATTACACTAACATTACACTAACATCACACTAACATTACACTTATACGGGGGCTGTCGGGTAGCCTAGTGGTTAAAGCGTTCGCTCGTCACGCCGAAGACCCGGGTTCGATTCCCGACATGGGTACAATGTGTGAAGCCCATTTCTGGTGTCCCCCGCCGTGATATTGCTGGAATATTGCTAAAAGCGGCGTAAAACCATACTCACTCACTCACTCACTACACTTATACGCACAAGTAACCACTTGGGAGAACTTTGGGTCAGAACAGTCCCAAAGTATGAACAACGGTTGTCATGTCACGTTGCTATAGTTACCTGTGGATGGTCCAGTGGAAAGCCCTGGGGCTCTAACGAAGGTGTAGTTGATGTTGCTGCAGTGATGTCGCGCGTAGTCTTCCATGGCAGCCATGTCGGACAGGACGTTCCCGAGGAACAGCGGCCGGGAGAACCATTCTATCACCTTTGGGCTGCCGGGGGTATCTGGAATATATCACACGAGTGCAGGGTGAGGGCTCGACCAGTTAATAATCCCGAGGAAGTGGGGCTGTGTGTCTCGAGGTTTTCCCGCTATTGCTTCAAGGCCAACAATTGTATTGTCTGAAAGGAGCCGACATATGTTTAGTGAGTGAGTGAGTTGGGTTTAACGCCGCTTTTACCAGTATTCCAGTTATATCGCGGCGTGTCAGCTTGATGTGGGAGGAAAGCCCGAAGTGATGCAGGTCTCCGACATATGTTTAACGAGAAAACGGTTATGAGTGTGAGTGAGTATGGTTTTACGCCGCTTTTTGCACTATTCCAGCAATGGCGCGGCGGGGGACACCAGAAAATGGGCTTCACACATTGTTCGAGTGTTCCCATGTGGGGATTCGAACCCGGGTCTTCGGTGTGACTAGTGAAGGCTTTAACTACGTATACTAGGCCACCACCCCCCCCCCCCCCCCCCCATTTTATGCCTCAAAGTGAGATTTACCAATCAGTGAGCAGATCTACTGACCCCATATGAGCCTGTACACCGTCAGTAAAACTCCAAGATGGTTGTTACTGACCTAATATGAGACCGAAAACCGTCAGTAGCAGCCATTTTGGATTTTGCAACACCCGCCTCACATATTTCACATGGAAATTCTGGTACGCTGTTTTGTGTTTTAATATCATTAATTTTGATGTGCAAGAACGTTAATGTTTTTTGGGGTCACGTTTGTGACTTTAATAAAGATTATATAAAGTTAAACTTATCAACAAGGTTTGGCCTCTGAGGTTTGAAGAGTAGTCTCCCTTTGACCCTTAACGTCTTAGGTTGTAAGTGTTAAGTTTTGGGTTTTAAGTTTTGACATGATATGTGCGACAAAGATACCAAATATTGTGAACTTTCCGGCATAATAAATTCGTTATGGTGCCTTTACTTGCCGTATAAGGTGTCATATTAGGTTAACAGAAAAATATTGGGCTAACCTAATACGACACCATAACTAATAATATACTTTTCGTCCAATATTTTCTCGAAAAAACAAATTCCAGGGAAAATATTACGATTTCAAACGCAAATCACTTCGCGAAATAGTTACATTCAAACTGTTTCGGCGTTTCTCTAAATAGTTAAGTGAAATAAACGCGGTCGGGTTCGATCCCCGACCGCGTCATACCAAAGACGTTAAAAGATGGTTCTTGTTGTTACGCTGTCTGGCGCTCGGCATTAAGGGGCTAAAACAAGGACTGGTCGGCTCGGAGTCGGTATACTGTGTCTGAGTGGGGTATCCATGTTAAAACTGCGGCATGGTATCTCTCTCTCTCTCTCTCTCTCTCTCTCTCACACACACACGCATGCATGCAGGTCGCTATATAAGTGTAATATTCTTGGACGCGACATAAAACGCCATTTCACCTCACCTCACCTCACAGTATAGGTGTATTTACCGATAGACCTTCAAGCGTAATATTTACTATACTGCAAAATGCGTCATAAACGAACAAAATAAAATTGTCTGAATTATCGAACGGTCTTTGAGTTGTGTTCTTGAAACCAAATATGACGGACGGAAGAACAGCCCCAGCTCTTCTCGTGAAAATAATTGTCTTGGAGCGGAGACAGAAACCTATTCTGTCTCAACCAACTATCTCAGCCTCCCCTTAGAATATGTAATAGTCGGACCTTATTTGTTGTTCAATGGACGTTTACAGAATCTAATTACATAGTACCAGATGGCACGGAGCTGGCTGCACATACCGGCTAATGCCAGGTGCTCGATAACAGAACTCGCATGCGCTAATAACAACGAACATTTGACCACGTGGTGTGAATGAGGGATATCACTGAACTGACCAGTACCTCCATAGCCATGTATGGTCATGACGATGGACTGAATAGTGTAGAGGCATTCGGCACCACTCGCACCTTTCCGTAACCTGCAAGAAGACTCGTCCCCCTTTCATGAATGTTATGTGCGAAAATACGACAAACCAATCAGAATGCGCGTATGATTTCAAGTTCTTCGTCAAAGAATCCCTCAGAAATACTTTTTGATTTAAATTTAGATATGTCTTGCATCTAAAAATATTGCCAAGACACAGTTAAATGTGTTCAATCATACTGTATAATTCCGCATGTCCCGATGTGCTTTAAATTGCTTTTGAAATATATAAAATTATAATATATGGGGAAATATATGTCAACGAATTGACAATTGTCTTAGGTATGCCCGTTTGCGCTCAGACGGAACCCGGTCGCAAAAATGGCCATGAGAGGGGCACGAGTCGCTCTTCGGCTTGTCCCGGAATAACACGAGTTGGTCACGAACGAGTGTAGAGGCTACTCTCGGCTACTCTCGGAGAGCAATCGGAAAACCAACGGGCTCCTGAATAACAGCGCGGTTAATAACACGGTGCTGATAAGATAGAGCTGTGGACTTCTGTACGTGTCCCCTGTTGAATTATCAGCAATCCCGTCATTCCTTGGGGAAATTAATTCAGTACAAAATATCCACATGTCACAAGCAAGAAAGTATTGGTATGGTCACAAAAGATATGATACATGATAAACACATGATATAATTATGAATTAGTTAGACGGGGTAATAAATAGATAATTAACTGATTGTATTTCCGTATAAAAAATATCAGAGATAAGGAATAAAAAATGCATTAGGCGAGTCTTGTGCGAGATTTTCTTAATGAATGAATTTAATGATACTGAAACACACAAATGTAATACTCGCCTGATGTCATTCTAAAAAGATAATCGATGTTTGAGACGTAATTTCAATCAACTGATTTCCTTTACAAACCCCGAATGAATGCAGTCTTTGAGTGAACCGCCCTATTTACAATGATATTATAGGGCTAAATGATATAATTATTCATGTTTGTCTACAGAAACAGAGACCATCGGTATATGGTCTCTGACAGAAGCAACCACTAATCTGGTCCTGCAGACATGTATACAAAAGCAAATCAGCATCGGGGGTGTGGTATTTTTTAAATTTTAGAGTCGAGAAAGATATTGTGTAATATAAGATTTCATAGACTAAAGTCTACTAGTCATCGTGGAAGTCGTGATGTCGCAGTCATACAGCTGGAATATTGCCGACGACGGCGTTTATAGTGACCTCACCCGAATGTCTCCTGAAATCAAATATATCAACACAGGTCGACAAGCCTTTGAGTTTTAAACTGTCATCGACTCGGTTGATATTCTACGTGATATCAGAAGACACTCGGGTGAGATACTATGTATCATTCAGAATCATTTCCCCGACATTTTCAGTTTGCACACAGTAATAACCAAGGCCCCCTTCCACAAAGCGACAGTCGTAAGTCTACGTTTAAGCATAGGAGTTACGATCACCTTGGCGGCACGGACCCAGTACCCATTCATCACCACTCGTCCCTTTCCGTAACCTGAAAGAAGATCGCTATTCGGCATGTCCCGGAATAACACGAGTTGGTCACGAATGCCCAGTACCTTGAGAGTAGAATTACCAGCAGTGGTAGAGTTTAGTGATGTCATTTGATTGTGATGTCATGGTAAACGAAAACGCAACTGCGGAAATTGTCGCGATATCTCAACCAAGCAGTAAGTGCTGTGGATGCCAGTTTAGGATGATAAGTAACATCACAGAGAGCTAATAAAAGTGTATATTTCTTACATGTTGTGCACCACGAATCTACACAGACGAAGCGATGTACCCCGGCAGCTGTCATGGCGGCGGCGACAGTTTTCATGGAGTGTGAGTACAGCGTGCACGGTTGGTGGGAGAATAGACTTGCCCGGGCTCCTAGACACGACAGAACAGCCGAAGAACCACGCAGACGTTTTGCCAAGTCATCAGGTTTGAAGATGTTTACTCTCTCCACCTGGAAAAATAAATGCAAAAATATAAACAGATGTAACACCCAATATCTAAAATGCAGTAATTTACTGAAGCTGGTAGCTATTCAGAATCTTGAAAGATAAAAAGCAAACAGATTGAAACACACACGAGGGAGTGAGTTCAGTTTTATGCCGCTTCGAACAGTATAGTCAAATCACGACATTGTCAGCTGCATGTGGAATAGAAGCCTGTTACAGGTCTTAGATGGTACCACTTTGGTGAAAGCCACGAGCACATGTACAGGTGTGGTGCTGTCTGTACATATGCAGCCTGTACATATGGTACACACCAACAACACGTAAATTAACAATGACCTGTCATTGACCGGTAAGACGGAACCCGGTCGCAAAAATGGCCATGAGATGGGCACGAGTCGCTATTTGGCTTATAATATCCCCAAGACACACTTAAATGTGTTCAATCATACTGTATAATTTCTCATATCCCGATGTGCTTTAAATTGCATCTGAAATATATATAATACGCCGTCGGGGTGCGATGACATGCACTCTGTTACCTAGTCAACAAGATCGACTCCCTGATTCATTTAGTTGCTTTTCACCACCAGCAGAAAAATATTATGTTTCTGGGGAGCTTTCCCCCTCCGACCCCCCCCCCTCCATACACACACACACACACACACACACACACACACACACACACCTACACAGCTCGTCTACGGTCATTTTATGAACGCTTCATTCAATAAAGGGACTCGCATTGAATTGGTGGGAAATCGAATACTTGCATATATCAGTTATAAAACGAATCAGCGACGTATCAATGCAATGCTGGGAGATGAGAGAAACATATATCTCTCTTTCAGTATGACCAACAGGAATAGTTTATAGGGTCACAGGGGCAGATCTAGCATTTTTAAAGAGGGAGGGGTTCAAAATATCAAAATGCTCTAGCAGATATTTGTATATACTGCCTATAACATACAGTAACTACATAACTACATTTGGTTTTCAAAGAAAAGAAAGGTGTGTGTGTGTGGGGTGGTTTGTGGTGGTGGGGGCAGGACCCTGGACCTCCCCTCTGGATCCGCCTTTGGGTAATTTACTCCAAATAATACACCCTACCACCTTCAATATATATACATGCTCTTACCTATTATACATTATCGGCATGGAAGAATGCCTTTTGATATAAAACAGAATTTGTTCTTACCATGTCCATGCAAATCATTCAACAAAGAAATAGATGTACATCACAGATCAAATCCGTCTCTTTGCTGTGACATTGAAATCTCGACTTCCGCAAGGTCAAGGTGACCTTGCGCACCTACCGTGAGTTTGTCGTTAGCGAGGGCTATCTTGTCCGGGGATCTGGCGAGCGCCTGGACCGCGTATCCCTGTAATAACGCTTCTTGTATAAGTTCCAGTCCGGAGGGGCCCGTAGCGCCCAAAATCGATAACCTTCCATCGTCAGTTGAGACATGGCTTGACGATTCCCGGACCAGTGGTTTAGCTAGACAGCAATGTTTAATGGCATAAACATGGCGAGTGACTAGTCGTGAAGGCATTGCCTGTGCTGCCTCGTACGCGCATTCACCCAGATCGAAGTGCCGAATGCATTCCCTGGCCGTTACGAGAATGCGGGAAGCCCATTAAGCATAAAGCTAACGGTGATCAATTGCAGCTGCAAATGGTTATTGTTATGGTGCGTGTATGGTGTAAGGGAGGTCACTCCTGTTAGTTAAGCAAAATTCCTTGAGGTGAAATGGGGCGTATCGATGCTTTAAACAGTATTGCAACGTGCATACATCTCTCTCTCTCTCTCTCTCTCTCTCTCTCTCTCTCTCCCTCTCTCTCTCGCGTAGATCGATACATTTCATGTCAGTCACTAGATTGTCCGGTCCAGACTAGATTATTTTCAATAATGTATAACAATATGTTGACATATAATAGTCATATAAAAGTGGACAACTATGACTTCTAACGAGTAAAGGATGACATTTATGATATATGTATCCATTCTCTGACAACTGAGGGGGAGAGCGTGGGTGTGATGTGTAGGGTGTACTCCGGAAATAGAGTATAAAACAACGGTGAGTTGGTGCGATCTGCCGATCAGTTCACTTCCATTCTACCGAATTGATGCAATATTAAATGAAATTTTGCATAAAATTAATAACATACATTACAAACATACATCCAGATATACAATGAAGACCTTGTACAATCAGGTAGGGGAATAATAGGTTGAACTTGCGTAATGCAGTACGGATTACAGTTTCAGGTGTACGTGCTCGCGTCATGTCTTATGAAACTCATTGTGTGCATGTATTGTGTGCTCCCCATCGCCACACCTTTGTGTTTTTACACGACACAAGGACAAGATCGTGTTCTCCCTGAAGTAAATAAAAGATAAAACATAAAATACCTTCGCTCCCTTTTATCAAAAGTTTGATGACAATGTGGTAGTTAATTTACTCTGGCCTAATCTCGCACAGAACCTTCACATTTCGGGGAGTAGATGTTGGTCTAACCTTGGTCCCGTTGGACTGAGGTGAGCCGAGTTAATCTGCGCTTTAAACATTATTGCAACGTGCATTCAAGTCTCTCTCTTTCTTGGTTGATGCGACCGCCTCCGTGGTCTAGTGGTAGGGTGTCCGCCCGGAGAGGGGAAGATCCGGGGTTCGATCCCCGGCCGCGTCATACCAAAAGACGTTAACAGAAGGTACTTGTTGCTCGGCCTTAAGGGGCTAAAACAAAGACTGGTCAGCTTGGAGTCAGTATACTGTGACTGAGTGGGGTATTCATGTTAAACTGCGGCATGGTATCTCAGTGAGCTAGCACTATAAATCGGCATCAGTCCGGACTAGTACAAGCAGCCACATAAACACACACACGTGCATGCATGTCGCAATGTAAGTACAATAATCTTGGACGCGACGTTAAAGCCCATTTCATCACACACCTCTTCGTTGATGCATGTCATCGTATCCAAATTGCGTAGGTCGATGCTCATGATGTCAATCACTGGATTGTCCGGTCCAGACTCGATTATTTACAGACCGCCTTCATATAGCTGGAATGTTGCCGAGTGCCACAAGCCATTTCAATACGTAAGTTAAATTTATGTCAGATTTTGTGAACAAAATTCTCTCTTCTACTCTGTTTAGTATGGATGTCGCCTTCTTTGTATTCTGAAGCGATTTGATCTGTTTTCATTGCTCTCTCTCTCTCTCTCTCTCTCGTTGGCATTTATAAAACAGAAGTGGTTGATGTCACAAAGCACAACACGTTTAGTTTAAGAATATATTTATTCTAACATAAACAGGAAAACGCAGTTTCTAATATCTGTTGAGGACAGAAGATATAAGCATGTTTTAAGTATTTATTGTATCATCAGAGCAAAAATACGCATGTTCTGTGGTGTTTCTGAGGTCGTAAATGAAAACAAAAACAGTAAAACTGTAATTGCACTATTAGTATGCTATATATTTAGTCATTACAGTATGATTTTTTACTACGACTTTGTTAGGTCAGCAAATAACAGCGCTTGCGAACATATATGTCTATAAATCCAAATGTATATATTTCGCATAGCGTGAAATGCGAGTATATATTACCTAACTAATGAGTTGACCTCAACCTTAACTGCCGGGCAAAAGAAATTATACACTTGAAACCCGGACTTGACCATGAAATTACAAACGTTATCAAAACGTCACCAGGCTGAAAGCAATCGCCCTATGTCGCCCAAAAACCACCATTGAAAAATCATTTCATGTTTGTTTCATTTTTAGACACTATCAAAGATGGATGTATAGTTTCTTTTGCCCAGTGTATGAAGTAAAGACTTCACCATGAACGTGTTACAATTACACCTCGTCAGTCTGGACACTGTCAATCAGGACCCCCTGTTTTCAGGACAATGAACCCATGAACGTCTATATATAAACTTTAAGTAAAAGAGATATATCAGTTGACTAATGATTCGTAAATCCGGACAACTTCATTTGCAACACAACTGTCCGGATTAAAGGAGTTTCACTAAATATAGATACGGTCACGTGACACGATCTCCGTGAATCATCTGAGAATGTATCGCGTGTAGCCTATGTTTGATTCGCATACATTTCACTCATCAGACAAACATCATTGTGGATTTATGTAATTTGGCCGTGAAAGAGAAAAAATGAGGTAAATGAATAACCACCTGGCAAAAAGTTGTATGTATAAGTCGAGTATAAGTCGAGCGTAAGTCGAGTATAAGTCGCGTGTAAGTCGCGTGTAAGTCGAGTGTAAGTCGAGAGATCTGTAGTACGAGACAAGCGGGGATCCACATAAATTATACCGACAATAGCCCAGTGCTAAACTCAATAAATTATATAATAATTATTATAAAATTATAAATAAATACCCAGTTATCTCGAACGCACCGATATTACGAACCTATTCTCTCCGGTTCCGACCGCCTATATAATGTTCATAGCACGTTATCTCGAAAGTCTTATATTTTTTCCACGGATGTAAGCCAAAGTTTCTGATTGAATTGGATCTAATCGACCTTTCAACAGACTCCTTGACAGAAAACTGCATCAAGTCATATAGATCCTGTGACATGAAAGTCATCAGTTGGTGATGAAAATACGCTAACATATGCATCCAGACAACAGATATCTCGAAGTGTATAAGGTGAGTGAGTGAGTTGAAAACTAACATCACATCGGAACCATCTCGGTCAAAATGTAGGTATGTATTAGTGAGTGAGTGAGTTGGGTTTAACGCCGCTTTTAACAGTATGCCAGTTATATCGCGGCGTGTCAGCTTAATGTGGGAGGAAAGCCCGAAAAGATGCAGGTCTCAGACGTTTACTACTTCGGTGAAACCCACGAGCACGGGTATGGTGCTGACAAACCTAGAAACACAATCGGGGCGAACCGGGATTCGAACCCACAATCATAAGTTTCAGGCGTGCCCAAGGGACGCAACTCTGCACAGCGAATCGCGGCGCCTTAGACGACTGGGCCACCCGTGCCCCCAGATATGTATTAAGTGATAATGTAACAGATCACGTGTACCCTGTGTGGAGAAACTGCGTCAGAATATACACATAAACACATATTTCTCTGAAATTAAGGACCAGAACTAGTCACCTTTTTTTCAGTACAGCCAATATATCCAGCGAACAATGTTGTTTTTTATATAAGCCATATATATAAATTATATTAAAAAAAGTTAAAAATGGATACTTGAAGTGTGCGAACCATCTTTTTCCTAAAGCGCATGTTAGAAAATAAAGTGTAGTTTATTTGATCTTTTAACAATGACTGTTTACACTGTGGGTGTAATGCTACAAGCTAAATGTAGATATATATCAGTTTTCAAGGATCATTCTGGTGGCATGACTCCGTTTTCCCATAATGCCGTATGGTGTCATGCCGTGTTACGTCAGATCCGGATTGTGTGGAGATGGAACATGTTAAGTCACTGTGACGTCACTTGATGCCTACGGCCACGTGTTTCTTCTTCCATTCGCCATTGACGACACACGCCAACATGAACTTTGCAATATCACGGCGGGGAATTCTTGACGTGGCATCCGGGACATACTGACCTTCAAACGCCAATGCCTCCTTTCCTGCAATTAGGAGACATATTAAGTAAATATACTGGCCCTTTTCTCCCCATCGTCTGTACTTCATAGGCTTCTATACACTACTTACCCCCAATTAGTCGTGAATACACCCTCCTATTATTAACCAGCGTATCAGCGAGTGAGTGTGGTTTTACGCCGATTTTAGCACTATTTCTGAAATATCACGGTGGACACCAGATATGGTCTTCGCACATTGTTCCCGTGTGGCATCTTGCCGAGGCGGTCGGTCGGGTAGCCTAGTGGTTAAAGCGTTCGCTCGTCACGCCGAAGAACCGGGTTCGATTCCCGACATGGGTACAATGTGTGAAACCCATTTCTGGTGTCCCCCGCCGTGATATTGCTGGAATATTGCTAAAAGCGGCGTAAAACCATACTCAATCACTTATCGAGGCAAGGGAGTTAACTGACTATATGAGTTCAGTTTTACCCCCTTGTCGATCTAGGCTGGAATTATGGAGTTACACTTTGGCTGGACTAACGAGTCAATGCACAGTCCAATCAAAATCGCGTGATGAGATCGACATCCGGTTCGTAGACTGTTGTGCAGATTTCGGTTGATTGCATGATTTGCAAAACATGTGTACCGTCAGCAGAAATTTTCCAAATCTGTCCATGTTTTTTTTATCAAGGTGCTCATGTGACGTTATACACTTCGCAAAGTAAAACCCGTTTTATTACAATACGGATCTTGATTATCGGTCAGGTCATCTTCGCTGTGCGCCGCCATATTGTTTGAAGCAAATACAAGTGATATGAGAGAGGGAATCTGATTGGTCAATAGGAGAGACATAGAAGGGAGATAACTCGTAATAGCCACTGGTGGCACTTCGATCGAGATCAGACCTCTATACGAGTATTGTTAGTAACCGTACGGCCGAGATCAACGGAAATTCACCCCTAGCCATGATACGATCTTGACGTGCATTCGTCTGAACAGAATGGCCCAAATTGTTCTGTAGTGGGGGTCAGATTCACCAGCAACTCAGGCCATTACGGAACATACCTGACGCTTGGTCGTTTGTGAGTCCCGGCGGCCTGACGACAGTGTAGTCGATGTCGGTGCAGCTCTCCGAGAGGTAGTCTTCCATCTCCGCCATGTTGGGCAAGATGTTCCTCAAAAACAGGGGACGCAGCACCCACCTGATGATCCACGGGAGACCCGGATCGTCTAGAAGCAGAGTCACATGAATCACTAAACATTGCTAAGGTGAGATTACAATTTATTATATACTTCAGTGTGAATTAAAAGAAAAGTGATATTATCATTACAGTGAACATAACACTTGATATTTCACTTGGTTAACATAACACTTTGACGAAATTATTGTCATACAAGAGTTATCTCCCCTTAAATGGTCTCCCTTTATCGTAACTGTTCAGCCTGTACACAAACAGTTGACGTCCTTTTTACGTCAGTTCTACATTGACAAGGCAAAATAAAGACAGATGGTTATTACTGGAGTTAATATAACTTCTTGCCGTTTGTTAATCTCTCGAAAATGTTTCTGTAAATGTTTCTGTCTGTAAATAATCCAGTGATTGACACCATGAGCATCGATCCACGCAATTGGGATCGATGACATGCATTAACCAAGTCAGCGAGCCTGACCACCCGATCCCGTTAGTCGCCTCTTACGACAGGCATAGTCGTCTTACGACAAGCATGGGTTGCTGAAGACCTATTCTACCCCGGATCTTCACGGGTCGCGCCATAAATGAAGGCTTTAACGTCCAGAAACTTAGGAATATGAATTCGAATGGTCCTGATAACCACCTACGTTCTGATACATAGGTTTCACCAAGGCGTTCTGCGTCGCCTTAGGAGTGAAACCCGAGACACTGGCTCCTGCACTACTCACGTTTTGTGCCCCATGCCGACATGCCCACATATCTGCTGACTCCGCCTTTTCTCATGGCGCCTGTGATGGTCTTGATGGTGTCCGTGTACAGCGAACAGGGCACCCAGATGCCCGCCGGGGCGCCCAGACATGATAGTACGGCGTCACTTCCGGTCACGTGGGGCACCAGGTCTTCTTCCTTGGCAAGGTCGACTTTATTAACCTGTTGAACAACGCGATCGGTTAATACCGAAAACATTGATACTATTTTGAATGTCAACATGAAAAAACAATTCAATACACTTCTATAGAATGTATAGAGTGAAACTCTGATAAGTAGAACATGAAGGGACCGGGACAAGTCTCCAGGTTTTCGAGTTAACCGACTGCGACCTGCGTGCCATTATTGAATTATCTACCACACCTCCGTCCTTTATGTGAGTGAGTATGGTTTTACGCCGCTTTTAGCAATGTTCCAGCAATATCACGGCGGGGACACCAGAAATGGGCTTCACACGTTGTACCAATGTTGGGAATCGAACCCGGGTCTTCCGCGTGACGAGCGAACGCTTTAACCACTAGGCTACCCGATCGCCTCTACGCTTGTTTTGTAAGAGCAGATTAACATGAGGCTAGGGTCTACAGGTGGCTTTGCCTTTTTGCATGTCATCTGCCCCAGCGACGTGTATCGATACTATTGTTATTTCGCTTACAGGTTTCCCTGATACAGCGATAGCATTGATACTGACACCGGCGTAAAACAACATCCCTCATCCACACTGGATGTTGTGGAACTTCTGGAACACTTTCCCGAGGCAAGGGCGTTAACTGACTATAAAAGTCTAGTTTCCACCCTTGCCGACCTAGATTGGAATTTCCAGGCTCGATCGTAGCGCCACCAGTAGCTATTTCGGGTTATGTCCCTTCTACGTCCCTCCTATTGACCAATCTGATTCTATCTCTCAAATCACTTGCATTTGCTTCAAACAAAATGTCAAGACGATCTGATCGATAATCAAGATCTATATTTGTGATAAAACGGGTCTAACTTTGCATCATATCACTTGAGCACCTTGATTAAAAAAATAAAAAATGATTTGCAAAATATCTGTCGACGCCATTTGGCTTTACACATGCTTTGCAAATCCTGCAATGACCGATATCTACACGTTGAAATGATTTCTGGGTCAGCTTTATGTAGGAGGAAAGCCCTGATTCGGGTCTTAGACGGTTACCAAGAGCACGGGTATGGTGCCGACAAACCTAGAAACCTAGAATCATAATCGGGGCGAACCGGGATTCGAACCCACGACAATTGAGTTCTGGCGTACCAAAGGGACGCAACTCTGCACAACGAGTTGGGCGCCTCAGACGACTTGGCCAACCGTGCCCCACATTGTCGAGTGTTAGGTACAGAGACATCAATAGGCCTGCCTTATTGGTCATTTCAAGAGATCGAATATTTTCAAAAACTAATGAAAATCTTTAGACCGGTCACATTCGGTTTTAGTGAGCTATGCTATGCTATGCTATGCTATGCTATGCTATGCTATGCTATGCAATAGGGCTGGAACGAGTCCAAATTTACTACCCGGGGTAACTCTCTCCCCCCCCCCCCCCCCCCATTACCCGACCCTACCGGGTACCCGCTGTAGGTCTCAAGAGATACATACTGTCCGTTTTATTTACATTCGCGTATAAGACAATCATACACTGAAGTTTACTGAAGTTTTATCTTTATGTAAACATACAAAAGTCGGAAGGAATGGGTGCCTAGTCAGAAAGAAATGTGAACATAAGTGACTTGTAGTGTAACCATAGAGTTCTAGATAATTTTTGGTCATAAAACAACATATCATGTGACTAACGACGGGTCCGGGTGGTCCTGTGGGTATCCGGGTCCTACTCACTCAGTACCCACCCGACCCGAGTACCCGAGTTAACCCGTCCCAGCCATACTATGCTATGTCGAGGGCGTTGGGTAGCAGAGGGTTAAGATTTCGGGTTCGATTCGCCACATTCACCAGATTGTATGAAACCCATTTCTGGTGTCCCACACCCCAACAGTGATAATGCTAGAATATTGCTAAAAGCGGCGTAAAATCATACTCACTCAATAACTCATTTACGTCAAGATTTTGATTAAACAATTATAAAACCTTCATCATAATATCCCCGTTAAATGCACAATCCACGAACAGCTGAAAGCACACGCCTCGTATGTCATAAATACAGTCTCATTAACAGGGACGGGACGTGCTCAATTAGCGAAAATGTACTATGAATAGCCAACGGAAAGCGCTCCAATTGTACCATATATACTACTTACCGTGAGGTTCTCGTGCTTCACTGACATCTTATCGGGGTTCCTCACTAAAGCTGTGACACAATGTCCCTGCTGTAAACATTCTTCCACCAACTGCAAGCCACTCGGGCCAGTTGAACCGAATATTACAAACTTCATTTTCGGTCGATTTTCAAGCCGCGAATACGTCTCACTCCGCACACCTCAGAAAATCTACGATTCTGCCTTTATATAAACCCGGAAACCTCAGAGACCGAGTCCCGCTGAAATTATCGCCCTCGTCAACAGTTACCTCCCTTTGAACGATGATTCATGTGGCAATCAGTCTCAGTGGGTGTAGTTTTCAGGCTGGTTACCCCACAACTCACGTGGCAATGTTGACGCACCTGTGCCGCATTGATATGCGTAAATTAATTTTCAGTGCGTAAAAATCCTGACCGTCGAATAACAGTAGCCTTATCGTCGCCTTGATGGCTACCCAGTTTAATGATCCAGAACGTACTCTGGTTCTGTTTACCGGTTTGTAGTTACCGTGAGCGCCATGCGTAGAAATTTCCCTTGTGTACGTGCTCAATGGGAGGGCCGACATACCGATTCGTCATAAACTCAGGCGCAACGTGCAGGCAAGCACAGGTCCAGCCCAGGCTGATGAAATCGCCTTCCGCAATATCGTCACTGATGCGAGTTCGTGTTATATGTCGGTTAAGCTAATACCAGCGTGGCGTATTTACACTGGAGGTGCTCTTTATAACATAATCTGTTGTTTCGTTTGTTTTGATCGATTGTGTGCACTTATCAGATACAAGGCTTTGTAAGCACGGCCTGTATCCAATCTATCTCAAGGTGTCCATATATAATTATACTGATTATCAGCGAAAACCGACACGTTTTCAAAGCTGGCGATGTTTCGATTTGAGCAGCGGTAGCGAGGGCATTTTATTTTCGGACTTTAAAATTGATGAATTTGGCTTTGGTTTTACGTAATTACATAGGGGAAACATATTTGGTCATACTCTAGATCGAACTACATTCTTTAACCTAAATAGCTATTAACCTTATATGTATAAAAATTATCACTTTTGTGCTGAATACAATGCATCAAAATCAACTACTACTACTACTACTACTACTACTACTACTACACCACAGCTACAGCTGCCGCAATCACTGCTACGTCTATTTTACTACACCACAGCTACAGCTGCCGCAATCACTGCTACTTCTTATCACCACCACCACAACTACAGCTGGCATCATCACTGCTACTTCTTATCACCACCTGCACAACTACAGCTGCCATCATCATTGCTACTTCTTATCACCACCACCACAACTACAGCTGCCATCATCACTGCTACTTCTTATCACCACCACCACAGCTACAGCTGCCACCAATGCTACTTCTAATCTACTACAACCACAGCTACAGCTGCAATCATCACTGCTACTTCTTATCACCATCTGCACAACTACAGCTGCCATCATCACTGCTACTTCTTATCACATCTGCACAACTACAGCTGCTATCATCACTGCTACTTCTTATCACCACCACCACAACTACAGCTGCCATCATCACTGCTACTTCTTATCACCACCACCACAACTACAGCTGCCATCATCACTGCTACTTCTTATCACCACCACCACCACAACTACAGCTGCCATCATCACTGCTACTTCTTATCACCACCACCACAACTACAGCTGCCATCATCACTGCTACTTCTTATCACCACCACCACAACTACAGCTGGTATCATCACTGCTACTTCTAATCACCACCACCACAGCTACAGCTGGTATCATCACTGCTACTTCTTATCACCACCACCACAACTACAGCTGGTATCATCACTGCTACTTCTAATCACCACCACCACCACAACTACAGCTGCCATCATCACTGCTACTTCTAATCACCACCACCACAACTACAGCTGCCATCATCACTGCTACTTCTTATCACCACCACCACAACTACAGCTGGTATCATCACTGCTACTTCTTATCACCACCACCACAACTACAGCTGGTATCATCACTGCTACTTCTTATCACCACCACCACAACTACAGCTGCCATCATCACTGCTACTTCTTATCACCACCACCACAACTACAGCTGCCATCATCACTGCTACTTCTTATCACCACCACCACAGCTACAGCTGCCATCATCACCGCTACTTCTTATCACCACCACCACCACAACTACAGCTGCCATCATCACTGCTACTTCTTATCACCACCACCACAGCTACAGCTGCCATCATCACCGCTACTTCTAATCACCACCACCACCACAACTACAGCTGCCATCATCACTGCTACTTCTTATCACCACCACCACAGCTACAGCTGCCATCATCACCGCTACTTCTTATCACCACCACCACAGCTACAGCTGCCATCATCACCGCTACTTCTTATCACCACCACCACCACAACTACAGCTGGTATCATCACTGCTACTTCTTATCACCACCACCACCACAACTACAGCTGCCATCATCACTGCTACTTCTTATCACCACCACCACAACTACAGCTGGTATCATCACTGCTACTTCTAATCACCACCACCACAGCTACAGCTGCCATCATCACCGCTACTTCTTATCACCACCACCACAACTACAGCTGCCATCATCACTGCTACTTCTTATCACCACCACCACAACTACAGCTGCCATCATCACTGCTTCTTCTTATCACCACCACCACAACTACAGCTGCTATCATCACTGCTACTTCTTATCACCAATACCACAACTACAGCTGCCATCATCACTGCTACTTCTTATCACCACCACCACAACTACAGCTGCCATCATCACTGCTACTTCTTATCACCTCCACCACAGCTTCAGCTGCCATCATCACCGCTACTTCTTATCACTACCACCACAGCTACAGCTGCCGCCATCACTGCTACTTCTTATCACCACCACCACCACAACTACAGCTGGTATCATCACTGCTACTTCTTATCACCACCACCACCACAACTACAGCTGCCATCATCACTGCTACTTCTTATCACCACCACCACAACTACAGCTGGTATCATCACTGCTACTTCTAATCACCACCACCACAGCTACAGCTGCCATCATCACCGCTACTTCTTATCACCACCACCACAACTACAGCTGCCATCATCACTGCTACTTCTTATCACCACCACCACAACTACAGCTGCCATCATCACTGCTTCTTCTTATCACCACCACCACAACTACAGCTGCTATCATCACTGCTACTTCTTATCACCAATACCACAACTACAGCTGCCATCATCACTGCTACTTCTTATCACCACCACCACAACTACAGCTGCCATCATCACTGCTACTTCTTATCACCTCCACCACAGCTTCAGCTGCCATCATCACCGCTACTTCTTATCACTACCACCACAGCTACAGCTGCCGCCATCACTGCTACTTCTTATCACCACCACCACAACTACAGCTGCCGCCATCACTGCTACTTCTTATCACCACCACCACAACTACAGCTGCCGCCATCACTGCTACTTCTATTCTACAGCTGCCGCCATCACTGCTACTTATATTCTACAGCTGCCGCCATCACTGCTACTACTATTCTACAGCTGCCGCCATCACTGCCACTTCTATTCTACAGCTGCCGCCATCACTGCCACTTCTCTTCTACCACCACCACAGCTACAGCTGCCGCCATCAATGCTACTTCTATTCTACTACTGCAGCCAGCACTGCTTCTTCTATTCTACTACCTCGGGTATACTACTTACGTCTTGTGATGTTCACGTCAAACACTAAACCACAAATGGACATACCTAAACCAGTACACTATTTCAAGGGAGAACTTTTATTTCAATGGGGGTTATAAAACCATAATACGCCGAGGATAAAAACGCCGGGGAGGGTCCAGCTGCAATTAGCAGCAACTTTCACCATATACCAACATCAAAGAAAGCACATTGCCTTTTAAATGGGGCTTGACTGCATTTGATTTCACAACCCCGGACTGGTGTGTGACAGGAGGGTGCAGGTGTGTGGCAGGAGTGTGCCGGTGTGTGACAGGAGTGTGCAGGTGTGTGACAGGAGTGTGCAGGTGTGTGACAGGAGTGTGTAGGTTTGTGACAGGAGTGTCAGGCAGGTGTATGACAGGGGTATGACAGGTGTGTGCTGGCAGTGTGCAGGTGTGTGACAGGAGTGTGCAGGTGTGTGCCGGGAGTGTGCGGGTGTGTGACAGGAGTGTGCAGGTGTATGACAGGAGTGTGCAGGTGTGTGACAGGAGTGTGCCGGCAGTGTACAGGTGTGTGACAGGAGTGTGCAGGTGTATGACAGGAGTGTGCAGGTGTGTGACAGGAGTGTGCCGGCAGTGTTCAGGTGTGTGACAGGAGTGTGCAGGTGTATGACAGGAGTGTGCAGGTGTGTGACAGGAGTGTGCAGGTGTATGACAGGAGTGTGCAGGTGTGTGACAGGAGTGTGCAGGTGTATGACAGGAGTGTGCAGGTGTGTGACAGGAGTGTGCAGGTGTATGACAGGAGCGTGCAGGTGTGTGACAGGAGTGTGCAGGTGTATGACAGGTGTGCAGGTGTGTGACAGGAGTGTGCAGGAGTCATCTGGTCACTATGTCCTGCTTAAAACACATTTGTTTACCATTCTTTTCACATGTATTAAATTGTGTCAGCTAAAGGTTATTGATTTGCTATCCCTAAGGAACATTCGAAGTTCATAAACAAAGCTAATATTATCATGAACATACATGATTGATGAACGTACGGAAGCCTTTTGGGGCCACTTGTTTTTTGTTTTTTTGTCTTGAAATTTCAAGATAGTAAGTCGTAATTTCAAGATGCTAAATTGAAATTTCAAGATACTACGTTGATATTTTATGATACATACGTTGAAAGTTCAAGTTAAAAATCAACTTATTAGCTTGATATTTCAAGATCATTATCTTGAAATTTCAACTTAGTATACATTTCAACTTAGCATCTTAAAATTTCAGCTTAGTATGTATCTTAAAATTCAATATAACATCTTGAAATTTCAACTTAATATCTTAATTTTAAGAAAATAGAAAAAATCCAAAAGCCCCTAAAAGGGTCCTATATGGGTCCACCCGGTTAATTCCTACCTACATGGTATACCTGGAAACGATGGGGTAGTGATATTTCATGGGTACAGTACCAACAATACATCGCCTAGCACCTCTGCACACAGAAATAAAACATGACGGCCAATTTTGAGAAAACTTTTAATGTTCAATTAGGGATACAATTTAATATCGAAAAAGATTGTTTGACGGTCACGACTGCCGCCAGATTGTATTGTGTAATGTGATAGTCACGTGAACTAGTGACACTAGTAAATCCAATATGGATTCCTTCAAGTGCTGTTCGAGAAGACGTGTGTGATTGACGTGAGCCGAATGTCTTGATGGAGTTTGTCTGGTTGTTGAATCAGGGAAACAATAGCTGGAGAACCAGCGTCTGTCCATCACGGTATGCTGGCAAGTCCGCAGTTAGGTGCATCCTTATATCACACCAGGATGTGCTCACGGGAACCCATTAGTAATCCTTTAAGAACTATATGGATTTTATTTTGCATTCATAGTCGTTTGACCCTTTGAATGTTAGTGGCAATGAGGTCACTTGATTCCGATTGAAACACACTTCTTCATCCACTCGCCGTTGACTACACACCTCATCATGAACCTGACGACATCACGGCGGGGAATCCTTGCCGCTGCATCAGGGACGAACTGGCCATCCACACCTGTTACCTCACGACCTGGATAGATCATTATATTGTATAGAAAAACATAGGAATGCATTTTAACATTAATAGTATTCCAGAACCTTCAAATCTATGGCAAGAAATGTAACGGGTGTCAAAAAGACCAATTAAGTATTAATGAGTGAGTGAGTGAGTGAGTGAGTATGGTTTAACGCCGCTTTTAGCAATATTCCAGCAATATCACGGCGGGGGACACCAGAAATGGGCTTCACACATTGTACCCATGTCGTGAGTCGAACCCGGGTCTTCGGCGTGACGAGCGATCGCTTTAACCACTAGGCTACCCGACCGTCTTTAAGTATTAATGACAATATTCAACTTTAGGGGTACTGCGATATACCATGTTACATGGTGTGGTTTTACGCCGCTTTTTGGTAGTATTTGAGTATTATTACGGCGGGGGACGCCATAAATAGGCTTAACACATTGTTTCCATCGGAATCGATTGGAATCGAACCCGGTTCTTCAGCGTGACGAGCGAACACTCTACCAATTAGGCTACCCTACTTCCACATGCTAACTATTCGTATGACATCTCGATACAATCAGCCACATCCAGTCGCATGAAGAGCATCAAAGGTGGAGTAGGACGGTTACCACTTCGACGCCAGGTGTTCGACAAAAAAATACATAATACGAACGTTAACATCTCATAAATACTTAAATCTAAGTTTGGGAGAAAAATACCCCAGTACATCATTACATGTCGATCCCCTTGAAGATCCGGGTTAAAACTGCCCTTCAGCAACCATGCTTGTCGTAAGAGGCGAATAACGTTAGTCGCCTCTTACAAGTATAGCCACCTTTAACGGCAAGTATGGGTTGCTGAAGACGTATTCTAACCTGGATCTTCACGGGTATACGGCCAGCTGAGACGTAGTCTCCTGGAGGCCAATTCGAAAGTAAGGAATCACACTGAGGGCTAAATGTGTATCATAACTCAGCTGTACGTCTGTGTGTTTCCATCCATCCCAGTCTTAATAGGCCCCTATATCACCCGCTGTCGTATATATTCAGGATATTCAAAAAGGGAATTAATCTTGCAGTGTCTATTGCATTGTATGTTTTAATATTTTTAAAACCTGTTTTTTACCGTGTTTAAAGCACAGGAACTCGATGATAGCTTGTATAACAAAATATAATCGTATAGAGAGAAAAAAATCACACCGATCTATATACATAGAGACGTCTTTATGTATATAGAGGGGTGGGATTTTTTTCTATACGAATATATTATGTTATACACGCTATCATCGAGTTCCTGTGGTTTAAAGTTCCCAACCCCTTTGCATTTCGAATGCACAATAACGTTTACATTGTGATTATATTTTCTTATATGTATGTCTTAAACAGACAGCGTTCCAGTCAACTGTTGTATTCTTAACCAAAAGCATGTTTTTATTATTTTCTATTTTTTTTCAAATTTTTCCGCCATCTCCCGATGGAGTTGAGCAAGACAATGAGAAATGTGTAACGTTATAGTTATTAGAGTCAATTAATATTCAATTAGGGATACAATTTGATATCGATTAGTCGCTTCCTCCTCAATATTTCAATTGGAAAACTACAGTTCGGCAATAAGCACAACTGAATTGCCTACCCGTTGACTCATCCTTCGTGAGTTCGGCAGTTCTGACCACGGTGTAGTCGATGTCCCCGCACTCCGCCAGATAATCCTCCATCTGCCCCATGTTGAGGAGGATGTTCTTCAGAATCAGTGGACGCAGGATCCACTTGATCACAAACGGCAGACCCGCTTCATCTGCACAGAAGGGGTATCCTCATCACCATTGATAAAAAGTGAATAGTTACATAGATACTGCATCGGGACTTGTATTTAACAGTATGTAAAATACTAACCTGAAGATGGTCATCGGGCCACAGTTAAAGGCTGGAAGACTTGTGATGGAAATACGTCAACGGGGGGAACATCTTTTTGGCCGCATCGGCAGCAGCAAATATTGATAATATTGATCTTATCTCGCAAAACAAACAAATAATGTTGCAAACATTTTAAAGCGCCCCGCATTATAACACATAGCCTACACTCAAGCCATTTTCGAAATAACCTCTCATTGGCTAACTTTAAAGTCGTTTCCGTTTCAAAATGACCATATGTAGTTTAATCTAATAAAAAGTATTAGGATGGTATGAAATTAACTTTTACGTACTTTCAACTATTTGTATAATACTTACAAGAATGTGAGTGAGTGAGTGAGTATGGTTTTACGCCGCGTTTAGCAATATTCCAGCAATATCACGGCGGAGGACACCAGAAATGGGCTTCACGCATTGTACCCATGTCGGGAATCGAACCCGGGTCTTCGGCGTGACGAGCGAACGCTTTAACCACTAGGCTACCCGACCGCTCCCCTACAAGAATGTAATAGATATGTGTTTCATCGTATTACTTAATACGATGTCTAAGTTAAAGCGATAGATGAACTTTTTTTAGAAAAACTTAAAACCTTGTCAATATGAACTGTCGGGCAAAAGAAAGTATACAGTTGAAAATTAGATTTGACCAAAAAGTGCAATTGTTATCAAAACTTGGCTACTTGGCTGAAAACAGTCGGACCACTGCAAACGTAGGGCCCAAAACACGACTATGATACCCGTATTAAATGCATCGCCATTGAATAGCTTTTCATTTTTAGTCACCATCAAACATTGGTGTATTCTTTATTTCGCCCGGCAGTTTATATATCTTCGTTTGGGGCTATATATTTTCTACATTATGTTTTCTAAAAGCGCTAAAGATAGCCATAAGAGTCGTTTCAAAGAGCACCCTGCGAAATTATAAAGAGCCATGCATGTATTATAGAGATCAACAAGCGACGGAAATAGAGGCACGTGCAACACGCAAAGACCAAGATTACAAAGATTCTGGTATATTTTTCCAAATATTTTCACAAAAGAATGTTTAAAATCAGGGACATATTCTCATAACCCTCTATTCCTTTAAAACAATGGGCTGAGTTCCATCGGCTTCAAGGAATGGAGAGTTTCTCGGACATTCCTCTCTTCATATTGTACAAAGCACTGCTACACCCATCTGACTCACGGAGTAACACACGTGCATATTATGTACTCTCAATTGCTGAGGGGGCACGGGTGGCCCAGTCGTCTAAGGCGCCGCGATTCGCTGTGCAGAGTTACGTCCCTTGGGCAGTACGCTATATCCGTCAGTTCGTTTTCAGCGTGTGCGTTATAAACGTAGTTTACTGTAAATAAATTTTCCTTACAAATAAAAATATATGCTCGTGGCACATTCTGGAATTCCTGACAAATTGTGATTACTTTAGTTTTGCTCCTCACGCATACATTTAGTCCCCCAGGACGCCATTGCCACGAATCTGCTGACGCCAGCCGCCCTCATGGCGCCCGTTATGACCTTGACAGTGTCCGTGTAGAGCGTGACGGTGGACCAGATTGATTGCCTGGACCCCAAACACGACATGACGGCGTCACATCCCGTCAGCGGGGATACCAGCTCCTCCTGGGTCTGTATGTCCGACTTCACGACCTGAAATACACGTTTGGTTTAGGCAGAAAAGAAGCATGTGTTTGTTTGCGTTGTTTTAGGTGTAAAACGTACCTTAACATTTACATTTACAAATTTTGTCTGTATTTTTGATTGGTTGAGAAAGGGTCACATGACCTTCCATAAAACACGATATTGCCCTGCATGATTAAGCCAATTAACTCAAAGGAGAGAACTATTTTCAGCGAATCAGAGAGAGCGTAACGCAAGGTTTGTCGTGCATCATATCCTGTGATTTCCCGTAACATCTGTTTCAATTATTGTTGAATTCAAAATAGTCTTGTTTTTCAAATTGTGTAATTATACAATTACTGACCACAATTCGGGCAATTTATTTTATGGACCCAAGAAACTGATATTGAGGTGCAGTGAGGTGAAATTGGGTTTAACGTCGCGTCCAAGATAATTGCACTTATATAGCGACGTGCATGCACGTGTGTGTGTGTGTGTGGCTGCTTGAACTAGACCGGACTGATGCCGATTTATAGTGCTAGCCCACTGAGATACCATGCCGCAGTTTAACATGAATACCCCACTCAGACACCGTATACTGACTCCGAGCCGACCAGTCCTTGCTTTAAACCCTTAATGCCGAGCGCCAGACAGGGTAACAACAAGTACCATCTTTTAACGTCTTTTGGTATGACGCCATATTCATTGTCCTAGAAGCGGTCACGTATCATTCGACAGAATCGAATATTGACTACAAGTCAGGTCTGAAAATTCACAGTATGTACTTGAGTTACTTAAAATAGAATGGGAATTACCCAGAAAAGGTATTTCCCAAACCTAAGCCAATCAGATGTCTCCGTTTGTTGGAACCTTCTTACGTTTGTGAAGATGACATTGCTCATCCCTGAACCCTGAATACTATTTACCACAAATCTGAAAACCATTGAGAAAAAGCTGCGATTTGAAGTAACATTATGAATAAGGACATTTTCAAGTACACCTTTAAAAAAAGATTTTTTTAAATGTTGAATATGCGAACCTAATACGATTTTATTTGCAGCCGCATACCACATCGCTGAGTCCCCAATACCCTCTTAAATAGACCCCGAATCGTAGGTACCAAACGGGGGATGGCAGCCTCTTACTTGCTTTTTTTCGGCTCAAAAACACAGGCATGACCTCATATATATCTATAATTGTATGTTGTTACATGCCAGATATAACGGCTAGACTAGGAGAATAGACCATTGCTAGTAAGACAGTGGTGTGGTGTGGTGTGGGGTGGATTGAGGTGGGGTTGGTGGGGTGGGGTGGTGTGTGTATGTGGCTTTCTGGGTAGCATCGAATGTGTATATGTGAAATATTTCAGACTCTCCATGTTTGTCCACTCATTGTCTCTCGTTACAATATGTTCACACAAACAGACATGTTGTGTGTTCACATAAAGAACTGCTTGTGTATTTTCTTTCGTTCATCCGAATTTCATGTATCGCTATTCCTTGTATGAAATTCACGTATAACAATCATACAGTTTAGTGTATATGACAGTGGCGCGTGTGAGGGTGCATGTTGTAAAACTGCACAGTCAGCAATATTTCCGCCACATCGTCAGTCGAGTCTGGACCAGGCAATCTATGACGGAAGTCATGCGATCCACAGTGAGTAACAGTGATACGCAATCAGTGCTGTCGTGGAGTCTAATCACCTGATCATATTTAACAAGAAGGGGTCATGGTGGCCGGAGTCCCCGTGGGGTCAGAGCGATTGGGAGCAATAATTATAAAAGTATTAAATACCATATTCAGCAAAATATATGATTAAGTACTTTGATACTCACATATATTGCTGCACTCAGCTATATGACGGCGGTCTGTAAATAATCGATTGACATCATGCGCATCGATCCAGGCAATTGGGATACGATGCCATACATCAACCAAGTCAGCGAGCCTGACCACCCAATCCCGTTAGTCGCCTCTTACGACAAGCAATGTCGTCTTTTACTGCAAGCATGGGTTGCTGACGACCTATTCTACCCCGGATCTTCACGGGTCCCAGCATAGTTTGTTGGGGACATATTTCAGTATTTCAACTCCGAGGTAGTCTACACGGGTCGGTGCATGTTAGATATGTCGGTACACTATACCCACCGTGAGGTTCTCATGTTTGATCGTTAGTTTGTCTGGGTTCCTGGCCAGTGCCACAACGCTGTGTCCACTCCCTAGACACTCCTCCACTAGCAGAGTGCCGCTTGGACCCGTGGCGCCAAATATTGCAATTTTCATGATTTTACACATCTGCGGACATACCCGTCTGAGGACTCAAGCCACCTCGTCCAATGTGCGTGACTAGATATTCACTACTTAATGCCGGTTGTCTCCCTTTGATTGATATAGACTACATAGCTCGTTGGTGAAAGTCTTTCAGTTAATGTTCTGTGTGATAACAACGGGTCCAGGTCAATATGAGTGTCGATGCATGTACTCAAAGATAACGTTCAAAGACGTCCAGCGAAGATAATATGTAACATGTTGCGTGAGAGAATGAGTGAGTTGGTTTTAACGCTGCTTTGGAAAGTAAGTCAGTTACATAGCTTCGTGTCAGGTTTTATAGGGGAGGAACGTCCGAAGGTGACTGGTATATTGGTGTTGTTTTGTTGTTTAACGCCGCACTCAGCAATTTTCCAGCTATATGACAGCGGTCTGTAAATATTCAATATTCAAGGACATTCAATCCAGTGATTGATATCACGAGCGTCGATCTACGTATTTGGGATACGATGGCATGCATCATACAAGTCAGCGAGCCTGACTACCCGATCCCGTTAGGCTCCCCTTCGACAAGCACAGACGACCCATACGACAAGGGGGATTTTGACAGGGGTCACACTTTGAACAGTGTTCCGTTATATTAAGGGGTGTCAGCTTACTGTTGGAAGACAGTCCGAAGTGATGCAGATCTCAGACGTTGACAAACCAAGGATCATAATCTTGGCGAAACTCGGAATCGAACCCAGGCTCACAGCATACTGGCCTGTACACCCGTAATGAGGTGAGGTTTAAGTGGGGTTTAATGTCGCGTTCTAGATTATTGCACTTATATAGCGGCATACTAGTCCGGACTAATACCGATATCGCTAGCTCATGGAAATACCGGGTCGGTCGGGTAGCCTGATGGTTCAAGCGTTTGCTCGTCACGCCGTAGATCCGGGTTCGATTCCCGACATGGGTACAATGTGTGAAGCCCATTTCTGGTGTACCCCGCCGTGATATTGCTGGAATACGCGGCGTAAAACCTGTAATGAAAACTTCAGAGTATAATTGATATCTGAACACGTGAACTTAAATTTAAAAAGCATTGCATATAAAATATGAATCTAAAAAAATGTATATTCGGGTCAAATATAAAATGCAAAAACGTTATATAGTTGAGTCTTCCAATTTTCAAAGCTGTTGGTAAATACTGCTAAAACCAGCATCTGTACGAATTTAGTTCATATAAAGAAAGAAATTATCATTTAACTAATTTTAAAGCATTTAACCATGACATAAGCCTATGACATAAAACATGTACATTTATCGCATACCCAAATTTGCGTAAGTTTGCAAATAGGCGCCTCTTGTCAGTCAACAACATACTATATAGCACGTGCTTGTGCTGTTCCTCCTACTGCTGTGCCCCCCGCCGTTCAAGATGTAAACTTGTACTAAGTATTAACATTCAATAAACTTTTCACGATTTTTAGCTATTTTGCATTTCATCGTTCTCACTTGGCGCCAAACGGACTGTACCAGTTATTTAAGACTCGGTTGATATTTCCCATATTAAGGTGAAGTGAAATGGGGACTACATTCGTCTTCAAGTTCATTGCATATATATATATGTATGTATATGTGTGTGTGTGTGTGTGTGTGTGTGTGTGTCTGTGTGTGTGTGTACTTGTCCAGACTAATGCCAGTTTTATATTGCTAGCACACAGATCATACCGCAGTGTAACATGAATACCCCACTCAGACACAGTGTACTGACTCTAACAACAAGTACCTACATTTAACGTCATTTGGTAAGATGCAGCCGGGGATCGAACCACCGACCTTCCACTCTCCGGCCGACGCTCCATCCACTACACCAAGGAGACGATCTTAGTTTGTAAAAAAATAAACACTCGTGGTGAACCTTCTATATATTGTCCAGGGGCCATCTTTTCTCACACGTACGTTCTTTTAATTATGAAGCTAAAGGCCGCCTTATTTGACTACACAGAGAAAACGCAGAATTGTTTCTGTTAAAACCTGCAGGCAAAAACATCAGTTAAAATTGAACGTTTAAATGTCATAAATTTGCAACTGAATACTTTATACCTTGTTTGTTTATGAAAAGAACAAGTCACGTTCAAAAAAGGGCATTTGTGAGGGTATAGTATACTAAGGATGTGAAGTGGGCCGATCTGATCTAATTTATTTATTACGGAAAACGAATAGTAATTTGTATGATGTGATACATTAGACAATCCGTCACGTGCAAAACACAACGAAACACTTGTCAATACAGTCTTGTTTCTTTCAAGAAAAAAGTCTCTTTTAAGTCTTTATTTTTATGTGATTTAAGAGTCCGTCTCCAAAACCCCAGAGAATAAATTAAAAAAGGATTCCAATTCAAGTCAAGAATGACCTGGCAAGTCTGGATTGCAACTGCTCGGAAATTATGGATTGTTCTGGGTACCAGTTAGATTTTATCATTTTTATTTTGTAGATTTATATTTTTAAATAAGAAAACTTTATTTCTGGGACAAGATGTCAGTCTATCAGATGAGTACTCTGACAATGATCTTGGGATGTTGGTGTATCGTGCGTTTATTGTAGGTGGAGTTGTCTCCCTTACATCACTAGCCACTAAGTGCGGCGGTTTTCGCTGTCAATTTGATACTTAGCATGTCAAGGAAGCGGCCAATCGGCTCTCTGTCTGTATTCTCTCATTTGATCGCTGTCTCTCTTCTGACTCTTTCTCTCAGTCTCACTTCTCTCTGTCTTTCTGTCTCTCTCCGTGTCTTTCTGTCACTCTCTCTCTCTCTCTCTCTCTCTCTCTCTCTCTCTCTCTCCATAAGCCGTCATTTTCTTCATGCCGTTAGCATGCGTTCTACACAACGTTAAAAGAGTGAGTGAGTAGGGTTTAACCCCTCTTTTAACAATATTCCAGTAATATCACGGCGGGGGACACCAGAAATGGGCTTCACCCATTGTACCCAAGTCGGGAATCGAACCCGGGTCTTCGGCGTGACGAGCGAACGCTTTAACCACTAGGCTACCCGGTTATAAGAGAAAAAGCTGTCGTTTCAACAATTGAACAAACAGCGACATGTCGGCGACCAACTGTTCTGATATTTTGTTTTTCGTCACACGCTAAGTTACATTTTCTTCAAACTGGACACAAGCCTCCACCACTTGAAGGATCTCCAGACCGTATTCTAGGCCTAGACGTTGTGCTGTCGTGTGTGAAAATGACACATCGCCGTGTGTAGTTTCGGTAATTATTAATTTTTAATATACATCAAAATGCACGGGCTGGCATATAAAAACAGGATATTACACGAGCTTCAGCTTAATATCAAGATTAAGGCCCGTGAAGATCCGGGGTAGAATAGGTCTTCAGCAACCCATTCTTGCCATAAAAGGCGATTATGCTTGTCGTAAGAGGCAAATAACGGGATCGGGTGGTCAGGCTTGCTGACTTGGTTGATGCATGTCATCGATCCCAATTGCGTGGATCGATGCTCATGTTGTCAATCACTGGATTGTCTGGTCCAGACTCGATTATTTGCGGACCGCCGTCATATAGCTGGAATATTGCTTAGTGCGGCGTTAAACAACAAACCAACCAACAAACCGAGTGAAAATTACTTTAAGAGGAACAAATATATCCCATCAAAATGGAACGAGTGTCATGTTTTATTTATTTCAACAGATGTCATTTGAAGACGAATCAAGAAAACCAGTTTCTGAAACGTTTATAATATCATCAGCGTGAAAAGTCAAGGTTATGTTTTTTTACCAAACACGGAAGAAGTCACCTGTCGACCATTGAAAATAAACGAGAAAATTACATGTCGTTGGTAAAATTTTCACAATGCATAACGCTTTATGTTATTTAGAAAAACGCAAATGTAACAATATTAATTGAGTGAATCTGTCGCGTAGGAACAAGTACCCTGTCTGAGCACAAATGTGCATCCGCAGCAGAAAACGAGTTCCAGTTTGGCTTCAAACGTTCCATTTTGAGGTCACTCAGTGCATCTTCAGAAAATGTCAGTGTTGACACAGCCAGGGCTGATGAAAACAGTGTTTGAAGCACGAAACTGGCCAGTACACACGACACACTACACACACTACCACTGTCGGATCTTTCAATAAGTAATATATCAATACGGATTATTTATTCATCTTTCTTAAGCCCAGTCGAAATGATTAAACAAGCTCAAATTTCTGATGCTGCCAACCTTGCAAATGACGTCATACATGATTCATTACGTGTCCAGTTACACGATCCCATTTTCCCTACTACTAGTTGACATTTCTTTAACGCCCTCACGCGGTTGACACCCAGTACCATCAACCCTCACAGATGACGGAACCCACACGCAACAATCTCCCCCTCAATCCCAACCGGTGATTACCGACCCGGTTTTCCTAACCCCGTTATACGACTGATTAGTCCCGAAACACAGCCCGGAAAACGACTTACCGCTCATTAAATCACACTGCTGGCAACGTCCGTCCCCTCCAACACTGCATGGTTGGCTCTTGTGTTGTAATCGATCTGGCTTCCGTGTCACCACGTGTCGATGTGTTCTGGATGTACAAGTCTATATATTGGAACACAACATTAATCGAGGCGGGATATATGGTGCTTCTTTACGGGAATGCAGTCATGAATTTTGAGTTTGCTTTGTATTGGTGTTAAAATAAACTTTTAGAAAAGAACATGTTGATCGATACAAGCGTCTTGCTTCTGTCAGTTTAAAGAGAATGTATTTCGTAATGTCGCTCTGTGATTTTGTTTTTGTCTTTGAATATGATTGTAAACTGCTGTCTGTTCTAGTTTGTGGCAAGTTTGATATTATACTCAATCAAGACACCGGCGTGGAATGTACTTCTGGCTTGCTCTGTCATACTAACAAACAATATCCTGTTTTTTTCCATAATTGTTGATACAAAATAAGTTGGTGAGGTGAAATGGGGTTTAACGTCGCGTCCAAGATTATTGCACTTATATAGCGACGTGCATGTACTTGTGTGTGTTTGTGTGGCTTCTTGTACTAGTCCGGACTGATGCCGATTTATAGTGCTAGCCCACTGACATACCA